CAAATTCAGAATCACTAATCTTGGCCATTGTGTCATGCAATCAGGAAACTCTCCTGATAGTTGATTGTGCGAAACATCAAGGAACTGAATTGTCCCACCAGTTATGGTACAGAGAGAAGAAATTGACCCAGAGAACCTATTTTCTGATAGGTTTATGGATGTGACATTAACAGGTAATACTGGCAATGGACCCTCCAGCTTGTTTTTACTCAAATCTATCCCAGGGCGAAGAGAATAAGAAAATTTTGTTGACAAATCTGGCAAATTTCCATAGATATGGTTGGAAGAAAGATTCACATAAACTACCCTAGAAGATAGGTTCCAAAACCACTCTGGAATGCTATCTGAAATTCCACTTCCAGAGATATCAAGATAAGAAAATTTTCTATGGGACTTTAACCAGCTTGGAAACCTTGGGCCCAACTTGCACGACGCAAGAGACATAAAATCCAATTGGAAGGGAGGAATCCAGTCATTGCTAAAGTTGATGCTCAAAGAATTAGAAGACATGGCCAACCTCCGTAACTTAGATAGTGTCGAAAAGTGTGATTCACTAATAGTCCCATTCAAAGAATTGGAAGAAATATATAAGCCCTCAAGGTTTGATAGGAGTCCAATACTTTCGGGCACAGTACCACTTAGTTGAGTATTGAAAAGATCCAACACTCGCAGTGAGTGGAGGTTTTTTATCAAATCAGGCAAGGGTCCCTTAATTTTATTTTCACTCAAATACAATACCTCCAAGGAGAGTTGTAGACATCCAGATAAGTTACCAATGAGTTCAAGAAGCATTCCATCAAGATGGTTATGATATAGGTATAGGTACCTTAATTTGCACAGGTTCCCAAAGGATTTTGGAATCCCCCGTTCCAATTGATTATTCGAGAAAAATAGCTCCTCTAGGAGAGTCATGCAACTAAAAGTTTCTGGAATTGGACCTCGAAATTGATTAGAACTCAAGTCGAGACTAACAAGGCTGTTGCTAAAGTTGAACAACCATTGGAATGTGGAAGCAGTCAAATTGTTGCTTCCTAGATGAAGGTGAACGAGAGAAGTACTAGAAGTATTAATTATGGGGAAATACTGGGGAATGACATCTCGAAGATTACATCTATATAGAGACAGGTTAGTTAGATGAGGGAGCTTATCAATTACTTGCAGCCAGTCATTGTTGACCTTACTAAGGTCGATTTCACTCAGACCAAGGTATTGCAAGAGAGAAAGACGAGAGAGCCACTCAAGATTTTTGACACTGTTGAAGTTATTATAGCTAAGATCAAGATATTGCAGATTTGTGAGGTTTGCAAGCTGACTAGGAAGAGATCCACTTAAATTACAAGAAGAGAGATCAAGATGGTGTATTTTGTTGAGTGAACCAATAGACTCTGGAATGTGGCTTAAATTGAAATTATTCCCACTGAGGTCTAAATAAATTAAATGCTGCAACTCAAATAGAGAAGGACTAAGGTTACCTCTTAAGATAAAACCACGGTTGTACGGATACATGGTTAGATTAAGCATAGTGATGTGCCCAGTTATGTTGCTACATTGAACCCCTTCCCATTCACAGCAATTCTTTTTCTCTTCTTCACTGCTCCATGAGGAAAGCCTCCCATGTTCATCAACCAGACCTTGCTTAAATGTGAGAAGAGCTTGTCTTTCGCTCTTTATGCACTTAACTCCATCATCAGTTGTTGTTGAATTGGATCCAATTGAAGTTTGCATATGTAGTAAAACCAGGAGTGCATAGATAAGATGAAGGGACCCTGCACCCAGAATCTTCATTTTGAAAGTGATGAAAAATAAAATCAAAGATGAAGGTGAACCAAAATGAAAGAGTGTATCAGGGAAATATCGTAGACATGTAACTAAGGTTTTTTTGGTAATGTTTGAAGGGTTCTCAAAAGCATTCTAGCTACTTATATAGAACTTCAGCAAAACATATTAAAGGTTGTAGAAGGTCAAATCAAAGAATATTAATTTACCGTAGGTAGAAGGAGAAGATTCAAGGAAGACACCAGTATAGGTAATATGATTTGTGTGAAATGATTATGTTGCACTCTTGGGCGAATTATTTGGACTATGATTTAATGCACCCTACAATCTAGGTTTAATTATTTTAATTATGATTAAACGCACCATACAATGTTAAGTTTTTCTTTTCTTTTTTTTTTTTTTTAATGTTTAGCATAAACAAAAATTTAAAGCTAAGATAGTCCTTTTTTTATTATTTATTTAATTTCTCATCTTTTCCACTTGCTAAAATCACTCTCATGTCATTTTTTTTGTAGTGAATGGTGCGCAAGTATTGTAAGGAACGCGGACGGAAGGAGAGAAATAATGTAAAGGAATTCATGTAAGTTGGCGGGTTCATTTCACTAAACTTAATCTAATATTAGTTTTTTTTCAAAGTATCCTTATTAGTAAATGGGAAGTAAGGATAACATAGTTTAAATTTAAGGGGTATTTTAGTAAATTTAAATATTTGATTCATTTGAAAATGTGAAGTTCATTTTCTAATTCCATCAAAGATAAGGTTGAGGCTAAACATGGTCAACAAATTAGTTTTTATTGACAGAGTGACTTTTGACAGTTTTTGGAATGTGACAATAAGTACACCATTCTACTTAGATACGACTGCAATGAATTGGAAATGGTGGAAATGTTTCTCTCTATAGCTAGGCTAGCAAAGTTAGATATATATTTGTATAATATGATGCATGCATGTAGCCACTCTCCACCGAAGGAAAGTTGTTTTATATTTTACTTGCGTGCATCATGCATTTTGAATTGTATTCACCTGGTGTCTTAATTACCTCTTTACTCTCAAAATTAGTA